TACAAATCGATCATCCGACCTGTCGTCATGTATGGAAGTGAATGCTGGGCCGTCAAGAAGAAGGATGAAAATAGACTGCATGCGACTGAAATGGGAATGTTACGATGGATGTGTGGTGTGACAAGGATGGATAAGATAAGGAATGAGTATATAAGAGGAAGCCTGAAAGTAGCGCCAGTGGTAGAAAAGGTGAGAGGAAGCAGATTGGCATGGTTTGGGCATGTGATGCGGAGGGATGAAAGTCATGTCACAAAACGAGTGTTGAATATGAATGTGGAGGGACACATGGGCAGAGGAAGGCCGAATAAAAGATGGATCGATTGTGTGAAGAGTGATATGAGAATGAAAGGAGTAAGTATGGAAATGACGGCTGATAGAGAGGAATGGAACAAGAAGATTTACTGCGCCGACCCCAGATAATGGGAAATGGTTTAGAGAATGATGATGACCTAAGGGGCTAAGACTCCAGATTTCTTGGTTGAATATCTTCACTCCCTCGGTGGTATTTCCACAATGAATATTTAAGACTTCAAAAGCGTATTCCACTGAATAATATCTTGTCCAATTACGTTTTTTCAAATCCGGCTTCGATTTAGGACCATGTATCAATCGACCTTTTTATTTCTAATTTTTTACAAACGATGACAGATACTGTTTTTTTTGTTTTATTTGTTTTAGAAACATAACGGCTTACGAACTAATATTGGCATTAGAACTGCTAATATAATTTGACAGGGCGCTTCAACACATTTTGTAGTAAAATATATACCAAAATAATCATCAACATTTGCTTAAGCTCTACTATGATTTTTACTTTTTAAATCGTTACTATAATATTTTAATTAAATAAATAAATTACTATAATATATTTCATTGCGCCGGCCGTCTGCGTTCAATATAAGTACAGCACGAGCGCTCGTCTTGGTCGGACCTGTATCAATTTATTTCGCGCGCTCCGTGAAACGAGACGTTTCGATATCATCGTATTGTGCGTCGATGGCTGTGCCGTGGCGCTGCTATTTTGTGCTAGAGCATCTTCAACTACGCCCGCTAATTTTAATTGTTGGAAATATTTATTTTAGTACAGTATATTTCAATTAGTATAAAGTTCGCACATTATTATTATACCAGATAGTTAACTCACTATAGTAATTTTGATTGTAGCTGACCTTTCTTACTAGTCCGAATGGGGAAAAATAAATACAAGTATCAATGTGTCACTTAACGTAAAAAAAGAAATATCCTAACACTGGAGAAAAACTAATGGAGAATAAAAATTTCTGCATGCTTGCCACATGGACTGGCCCAGATTATGCAATAAAAGTAATAAAAATCTACAAAGATGACAAAACACTTCTACTACCGCACACCAACTAAAACTTAAAAAACACTAATAATTAATCACACTGATTCACTTTATTTCGCTCCGAAGCTTCGCTTGTCTCGCCAAATTCAATACTGTCCCGATCGCGGCTTGCAGCGGCTTTAAATACACCTTTTACACCGAAACATCCAGAATATTCCAGTAAATACGGGCGCCGACCGACCAGGCGCAGAAAGTTCGAGTGTTGGGCTTCTAGAAAGCTTAATTTTTCTGTTCGATACTTGACGGCGTTGTTGGTGCAAAGTTCAAGATTGACATTTTCTAGGAAGCCCTCCTCGCTCTGTTCCCCGACACTAGATGGCGCTAGTGCCAGGTACCAGTCATCAACTTAGGCGCGCAACAGTATGTTAGTAAAAGTTGGGTATGGTAGAAGAAGCACGAGAGTAGAATAAATGCAGTGGAAATGCGGTCATTAAGGAATATGTTAGGGCTGAATCTGAGTGACAGGGTGAGAAATTGTGTAATAAGAGAAGAATGTGTTATGCAAGATGATGTTGTGACTAAGATTAAGAAAGGAATGCATCAGTGGTTTGGTCATCTAGAAAGAAAGAATGAGGAAAGAGTGACAAAGCAAATTTATGTTGCAGAAGTGAAAGGAAGAGTCGGTAAGGAACGCCCTAGGCCAAAGTTTGTCGACCAAATTAACGATCTATTGAAAAGGGGCCAAAATCAAGAATACCCTTAACCGACGAGCATGTATGCGTAGGTATATGGATGTGGAAGAGGCGAGAAAGGTGTGCCGGGACCGTGCCAAATGGAAGTATGTGGTCTCTGCCTACCCCTCTGGGTGACAGGCGTGAGTGCTTATGTTATGTTATAAAAAGTGTATACTGTCTGAAGTTATTGACTCGAGATAAGTTCGGTCAAGGCCGTTGCGGCAAATATTTTTATAATAAAAAATATGGTAATTGACTGTAAGTACCGATTAAAAAATATAAGTTACAGTTGGTTATTTTATTTATTAAAACAGGTTGCAACCGTATTGTTAATTACAATCTACTTAAAATATAATTTCCTCAACCAATTTTCGGCCACGGCGGCCTGCCTCAATGGAGGCTAGTCATCGGCGCAGGACAGGATTACAGTGCCCAAGTGTATGCGCAAGCACAGGTGCACTCTCTATTCCCTCACTCTCATAATCCGATGGGACGGTAAACCGACACGACCGGAGAGAGATCAGGCGCAGGACCAACGGCTTTACGTGCTTTCCGAGGTGAGACACCGCCAACTTCCCGACTCCGAGAAACTACTGAGAATTTCTTGACGGAAAAACTCAATAATTAATTTTTTGGCCCGGCCTGGGATTAGAACCCAGGACCACATTGATCAGCAGTCGCACAACTACAACCACTAGACCAACGACGCAGTCGATTAGTAAATATAATCGATAATCAACATCGGTTAACAATCGATTACTGTGAAACAATTAAAATATTTATGTGTCCTCCTTTCAAAATTAAGGTTCATAAATAATGAAAAATATATCAAATAGATTATAATAAATTAATTAGATAACATAAAAATGACACACCAAAAATTTTCCATCCACTGAACTCCATCCTAAGAAAACTTGTATAATGGAAGATCAAGATCGTTTAGTCGCTATACTCACAGTACCGTAGTGCGAGCGATTGAAAAGATATGAAATAAAGTGTCGCTCGCGTAGCTCATCGCCTTCACGGAGTCAAATATTATAATAAAATTTGCGTAACGCCGAAATATAAGAGGGCTCTTAACAAAATCCTAATGTTAATGCCGCTAATCTATTAGGTTGTAATCTTAATAACGTCGGAAACTTAAAAACAACCTTCAAACCATCATGTAACATGGATGTCGCCTTTTAACACATTTAAGTCCAAAAGGATGTTTTTTGACCATGATAATCGAGAAGTAAAGTGGCAATTTCTTGTATATTTACTTAAACTACAAAGCAGTGAAATGGTTACTTTTGCAAATAAACTTACACCTAAACATATAGACTTTCGTAATCTAATTATAAAAGTGATGCTCGCCATCCAGCCCCTCAGTCGTAGTGTAGCACATGCATTAATACTGTGCGAACAATTACTTTCCTTAACACGGTTTGTTACGAGTAACACAGAAGTTACAGTACAATTAATTGAATACAGTTTTAAGAAACCACTTTGCACTGATAATAAAGAAATGATTTATTAATTTCTTAATGAAATGAAGAATTATATCCGTTCTTAAAATTTTTAAAATAAAAATAGACGAATTACAAGACAAAAAGTTACTTACATTGAACATAACCAAAAAAAGAACATTACTCAGTCTGCCTTTAAAATTGGGTTTATTATGTATAAATAGCTTGAAATATCTTTACTCAACGTTAGCTGAAACTGGCTTGCTGTAACATATTTCGATGTATAGATTAAGCCAAGGCCATTCGAATTATTTTTCTTATTCGAATTATTTTTCTTATTCGAATTATTTTTCTTATTTGCCGCCAGGGGTGATATAATAACAACCCAAATGTATGACAATTTCAGGGAATTTAAAGAAGAGTGTTAGGACATTTAGAACTGCGTTAAATTAGCTGCTTTAAATTATCAAGTGGTATACACTTAGGACGTTTACCACTTGATAATTTTATAATAAGGTGTACAAAAGATAATATGGGTATAACATCCTAAGACATTCACTTCTAATAAGGGTGTACGCAAAATTGAATTTTATGCCACAGACAGCGCGATCAATTTCGAGAATTGTATCCGAAATGAAGAATATACTAGTTCTTCTTTCTCTTCGAAGCTTCGCGAGAAATTATGCAATTTGGTCACCAGTTTCACGCAGATCGGAGCATTAAGCTATAGTTGAGGTGCATGCTCGGACTCCCTGGGGCCAGTTCCTTCTGCTTGACAGCATCCATCGAAGAGCGGCTCGATCGTCGATGAGTGTTTGTGATGGGCTGTACATTAGGCCCTGAATATTCAAAGGGATGCAACATATCTGCGCGGTCAGCAGCATATTTCAGCCAATTTACCTACCAAGCGTTTCAATAGACATTCTATGGGGAGGGCCATGTTCAGAAGTAGTCTTTGATAAGCTGTAATGAATACATAGATTTTATACTTAAAAATTAAACTGAATCTGTTATCAGTTATTTAGGGATCAATCGTTTTCCAGACTCAAGTAAATAATCTTGCAGCCTAAGTGTGTGCTTACATTCTGTATTATAGGCACAGAATACAACTTGAACTAGAAAGTGTTCTAGTGACTAGTGTTCTGTGTACTTATATACCGAAGTGCCTATAATACAGAATGTAAGCACGCTGTTCTTACTATCTATTTTTGTCCTTTTCTTTCAGACGCAGTAAGGTCTGATAATATTAGGTCCATATCCAGACCTTCATACAAAATATCATGAATTTTTAAATTTCATCGCTGATCTTTGTAATACTAATTCCTCCTCAGTACATCTTACTACTCCTCAGGTGTGGCAACGCATTTGCATTTTGATCCGTAATCGACAATTGTATTAAAATAAAGGAATATTTCAAACAACGAAAGCAATCAAATCAACAGTATATTTCGTAATAATGATTAACATATGAGAGCATCATATAAACGTAGTAGGTTGGTGCGGTCGGTCAGGTCAACAAGAGTCGAGGTCGTGTCCGAGCGCGCGACAGAAGGCGGCGACTAGCTGCTCTGCGCGCTCGCGGCGCAGCTCGTCATGTTCGCGCTCGCCGCGCTCGTCGCGCCGCTCAGCGAGCTCTGCGAGCACGCCGAGCGCGTCCGCGAACGCCTCCGCGCGCTCCACCGCACCCTCCTCCTCCTCGTCGGACTCCGCTCCGCCGCCGTCCGACGACTCTGAATCCTCTGCACCACAATATCACACCACTCCAAAGTTACCCGTGATTTCAGTATTGCAGAAGCAGTCTATTAAACATTTTTATTCATCATCATCATAACCATTACAGCCCTTCACAAAACCACTGCTGAACATAAGCCTCCCCCAAGGAATGCCACAAAGCACGGTCCTGAGCCTGCATCCATCGACTTCCTGCATGTCTTACCAGGTCGTCACTCCATCTAGTAGAGGGTTGCCCTACACTCCACCTACCGCTATGAGGCTGCCCCTCGAGAACCTTTTTGCCCATCGGTTGTCGGTTCTTCGAACTATATTGGTGGCCCATTGCCAATTCAACTTACTAATCCGTTATGCTATGTCGGTCACTCTGGTTCTTTTGTGGATATCCCAATTTTTAAGTTTATCATGCAGAGAAACTCCGAGCATCGCCCTGTCCATAATTTGGTGAACAACCTTGAGTTTCCTCATACAGCCGGCAGTGAAGGATCAAGTCTCAGATCCATAAGTCATCACTGGAAACACGCACTAACGAGCATATGGTTTCACCTGATAATAAGTGACTACCGCCGCCCGTGAACAGCAGCAGGGGGAGTTGCAGGTATGTTGCCGGCCTTTAAAAAAAGAGTAAGCTCTTTTCTTGAGTCTCTGAGTCGTATCGGTCTAGATAAATCGCTGGTGATAGTCGATTCTACAAGGAAGTTTTTTGAGGAAAAAAACTTGTAGTAAGTACGTAAAACTAATCGTAACATAGTGCGCAAGGTATTAAGGCCGCAGAGCTCGTGTAGAGAGAAACATAGAAGTGTTTGCATGTGTATTGGTGCTGAGCGCTGTTGTTTGCAAGTGGTACCTGTATCGCGCGGCGGGAGCGCGCGGCGCGGCGCGCGGCGGCGCAGACCGGGCCACACGTGCGCGTGCAGCGCGCCGCGCGCCCGCCCCCAGCCCCACCCCGCGCCATCCCTCTCCCCCACCTCTGTCGCGTCCCGCTCCCCGCGTAGCGCCACTACCTCGTACCGGCCGCGCAGTGCCCACGACATCAGCGCATCTGTCATTTTTTTATAGAATAAGGGTGACAAAACGTCACACAGTCCACTTAATGGTTAGTGGATGCTGTTGCCCATAAACATATACATTTATCCTCGATTAAGAATCAAAATGCAGATGCGTTGTCGCCCCTGAGAACTGAGATCGTTTCTCTATACACGCCATATGCAATACAGCAGCATTGAACTGCTATCTTACAATAAATCCTATCAATAATGCCTGGGACATGTTACAACAAAAATCTTTCAGAAATTTCCCGCCAAATTTGACGACAGAACATTGAAGTAATATGTACTTACGTACTAGAACAGCTATTTCAAACAAAACATGTGCGCTACTCTGTGTTCGCGCGGTTGGTTTTTTTATCATAGAATAAACATAGGTAGAATGATCAGTACCGACGTAATAATAGATTGTATTGTTAAATAGGTAAATTATATCGAGAACAATTTTCAAATTTTGTCACATATTTTGTATATTATATTTGCTTATTTAATATAATATCACATAATATTATACCACAATTACATTTTAATTATATTTTATATGAATATTTTAAAATGGTATCTATGTCAAATATAAAAAAACATACTATATGTATGTTTAACAAAACTTATTAATATAAAATTTAAATTTCATTTATTTATTTAGATTAGAATAAGTCATTCATAAATGCTGGGCACGCGAGAGTTAAAAATGGACGAATTTATTCCACTTTGACTTTGGTGTGGAAACCTAAAAATAATATAAAAGAATAATGAGCAGATTTAAATAAAAAAAATTGGCCTAATTATGATAACTCATATATGTTTCTACAAAAAAAATGTATAATAATATATTCGTCCTATACTTAAGTAGGTACCCACAAAAATGTCGCATCTGAACAAATTAATTTCATAATCTATATTACATGACACAAGATGGCGTCTTAGGAATAATTTGTTTTATTATTAATTTATAATATTTTTTATTGATTAACTCTTATTAACTGATGAAAAGTAATACCTTGGTTTTTACTGACATTTCTTGAATTATTTGTGCAATATCTAAGTACACACGACGGCATATTTTTTATTAAGAGATTTTTTTAAATCAACACAACACGTGACAACTCTACAAGCGCCTAGCTAGTGACTGATTAAGGTGCGGTGTATGCACCGCAGTTGAGTGGAACAGAGTAGCTGAATGCAGTGTCGCCTCTAGTACGTAGTACATAATAGCTCAATGCCACAGAACAACAACTTTATGAACACTCGAAAGGAACATGGGACCTCATACCGCAACAAGACACTAATAATCGGTTGCTATCACTTCTTTCTAATAATTTAATGTGAAGATGAGATTGACACTTTAAGAAATTGTTACACTATTTTAAATTTGGTATGTGTTATTGTAATATGTGTGCCATATTGAATACTTATAAATAAATCTAACTATTAGATCATAACATCAATTAATACATAGAAAGCAGGGTACCAGCAGTGTCGGCTGTGTCTGCTAGTGCGAGGCGCACGGCACCGCGTCGAAGCACGCTCGCCGCTCGTATTTCGCGCGCTTCTGCAATGTCTGCACCCTGCACCACACAACTTGATAGTCAAAAATACGTACCCAAACAAAATAAATAAATATGGAAGGCTTAACAAAACAAGTCATTTCCATCATTTCCTAATAAATGCAGGCTTACATGTGCGAAATGAAATATTGTGCTGAGTGAACCTGAGTGATGATCAAAAAATGTGACATAGCTCATTAAATTCTATCGTTATATTTGATCTCTGAACTTATCATTGACTAAATCAACTGTACATTCTCATTTTTACAAACATATAGTGCAGTAATAAAAAGCTCTTAAGTAAATTAACAATATAAGATTTTAGGACACAACTAACAAAACAAGAACTGACTAAGTTACAAGTTAGACAAAAAATTTCTAATAAGAATGTTCTATAAAAACATTTAATAATATATTTTAATTTATATAACATTGAAATATATTACAATATAAATCTAGCCACTGGTTACACACTTTACTATCAAGTAATCTCTGCACATTACTTGAAGGGAAAGCTTGCGCATTGCCGTAGGAATCTGACTAAAAACTTAAGTTATCATACAGCCCCATAGTTTTGTGCAAAGAATACAGACTGCAGAGATGACCAGTCACACATACAATGCCTTTAGGAACTTCACCGCCAGGGACGCCACGGATTGACAGTCTCTTGATTTTTATTTACATAAAGTACAAGTAATATGCCAGTAAACAATTTAATCGAAAATACGCGATAAAATCCGTAAATAATAGTTTTATTCAATGTGTAGTTTTTTTTTTTTTTATAGAATAGGGTGACAAACGAGCACACAGTCCACCTGATGGTAAGTGGTTGCTGCGGGCCATAGACATCTACATCTATCCTCCATTAAAAGTCAAAATGCGGATGCGTTGTCACCCGTGAGGACTGAGATGGAATGCCTCGTTTCCAGTAAAAAGGGTCTCCGGTTCTCTACACTCACCATACGAAATACAGCAGCATTAAGCTACTATTTCACGCTGGTATTCTGTGAGAGTGTGGTCCTTCCCCGGTCGAGCCGACCCATTCGTGCTACAACTATACTACTAATATAACTGCAGCATGGATCTACCACGTTAAGAAATCATTAATCGAAAATAGGAAAATTTCTCTATAGTAACTTTTAACGCTCCAAAAAAAAAAACACAAATACTCACTTCATTTTCTGCAAGGTAGATAATATGTGCCTGAGCTTCCACCTCGGGCAGTTCCTCACCATCAATTACAGGCAGCACTCTCACCTGGGCTGTATAATACTTGTTAACAAGCTCCCAAACTCGCCACCCAGCCTCCTTACTTACATTATCTTCTATTTCATTATCAATTAACTCTGAAATTTATGTTTAAAAACATCTTCATACATCATGTACATAATGTCCTCCAAACCAAATTTAAATCATGGTGGCTAGTCTGTACAGAGACTAAACATCTGCACAGGACTGCATTTAGTGCATGAGTGGGTGCGCAAACAAAGGTGCACTCTCTATTTGCTCACTCTTATAATCTAACGAGATGAAATCCAATACAGTTGGAGAGAAATCAGATGAAGGACCAATAGCTTTACAAGCTTTCTGAGGGTCAAGAGTGAAACACCACCAACTAGCTGACACCAAGCTGCAACTAAGAATTTCTTCACAGAAAAACGCAATAAGATTTAAGTTTGACCCAAGATTCATATCAAGAACCGCATGATCAGCAGTTACATTTAAGACACTGGACCAAGGAGGCAGTCCCACACTCATGTACATATTTATTTGTTTAAGTTTTAATTGCACACCAAATACAAAAAGGCAGACTTAATGCAATACTAATGTCACACATTCTGAGAAAGAAATCATGCTATGAAGTAGTTTATTTATATTGACTTTTTTAATATATGAAAAAATATGGTTGACCTTGCAAGCCATCCCTGGAACTTATTTTGTACTTAATTTTTGCTTTTATGGTTTTTAATTTTTTTGAATTTTGAAACGGCTCGACCAATTTATTTGTAAATCTCAATCAGCTAGACGTCTCACTTTCACTTTCACACAAACACTTTTGAATTAAATTAGTTTCGCGGAAATAACGTCACCCTGTCTTACACCTCTCTGCAGTTGGATAGGTTTTGTACTCGGATAGCCATCGTAGCCCTACTGTACAAACACTTCAGCACTTCGATATACCGACAGTCAACTTGGCACCGCTGAAGGGACTGTAGCACCGCACAAATTTATGTATATGTGTATTAAATGAAAAACTTCAGTAATGATGTAAAATCCTAACTTTTCAGGCTTAAATACGAATAATATATATCATCATTATCATCATCATTACAGCCCTTCACAAGTCCACTGCTGAACATAGGCCTCCCCCAAGTAATGCCACAAAGCACGGTCCTGAGCCACCTGCATCCATCGACTTCCTGCATGTCTTACCAGGTCGTCACTCCATCTAGTGGGGGGTCGCCCTACACTACGCCTACCGGTACGAGGCTGCCACTCGAGAACCTTTCTTCATAATATATATGATATAAAGTTACACCCTATACACTTCCCATACCTGGGCACAGGCCTCTTCTTATATCTCAGAGGGTTTGAGGGTCCACCGCCCTGCCTCAATGCGTGCTGGCGAACTTCACATCTTGGGAATAGTTTTTAATTTCTAGACATGCAGGTCTCCTCACGATGTTTTCTTTCACAGCATATAAACTATGTTGTATGATTTGATAAGATGACTCAGCTGTGTATTGTATGAAAAATTGGGTTGTGTATTTAAAATGCAAATACTATACCTGATATTATACTTGCGGCCACAATATTATTAGATGCGCTTAATAGTATAACAGGTAAATTATTTGACGACATAATTATCAAATATGTAAATCGCGGCTGTAAACATTACATCTATAAAAACCGTGTTCCTCTTTGATATTTATTTTCTTATAAACAATGAATGAATAGCAATTTATTAAATATAAAATAATAAGCGATAAATATTGAACAAATGTATTAGTACAATTAAAACGATAATGTTTAAATATTTTCACTATAAATAGTTCATTATAGATTCACGGATTTTTAAATCGCTCTACATTACATGTCACACAAACAATAACATGTCAAACTTAGCTTTCTATTTCTACATATTTATTTGTCTATGGTCAAAATGCCATAAACTTCGAAACATGGAGTATAGACATCTACACTCTATACTTCGAAAACCGAAAAAAAAATTACATGTATCTGACATGTAATTTTTTTTTGGTTTAGCAAAGTAACACAGCAGATATGCGTGTTTGCAAGTTCGATTCACTCAATTCATGAGGTACCCATCGTTCAAGTTTTTTTTTACTTTCCCGATTTGTTACAAGTGGATTAATACAGTTTTATCACTTACCCCGAAGCCTGCAGCTATCTCTGAAACGCTTTGTGATGGATCCGCTTCCACAATAGCCTTTAATTCTTCATTTTCCTCTAAATTAACACAGACCATTGTCTCCGGCAGTCCATGGGGTTGGTTCTGAAGGTCGAAATTTCCAGAACGAAAACATTAAAACCAAGAACGTACCGTGCTTTCTTTTGCGCCACCAGTGCCGTACACACCATTAATCCTTCGAGCTGTTTCTGCAGCACTGATGCCACGGTAGAACTCGTACTCGTAAATATACCGATATTTCATGTTTTCCATTGTGCGGTAATAAGCGACGCCAGAGAAAAAAATAATGAGAAAAAAAAACAAATGAATGACTGTTTTCAAAACTCAAATGTACCAGCTAAATGAATTTTGGAATTCTTAACCAAAGAGGAGATATTTCAGATGAAAGTGGTCAGTACGACAAAACGCTAATTTCATGTGTAAGGACGCAATACTTTTTATACGGGACAGGCGGGTTTAGCACGTAGCGATCGTTCTCCTTCTCTCTAACATCCATGCGTCAGATATCAGTGAAATTGTCAAAAGTCAAAAGCATAAATTACTGTATATATTCCGTAGACAGAAAATTAGAATATATACCATACACGTATAGGATTTAAACTTAAACCATTCTACCCAATGGACGAGTAATGCGCCAAATTATACACAGTAATCTATGCACCAAATGCTACGAACAAAAAAGTCTGTCACTTTTGGTGCGCGGGAGGATACACTACATAGACAGTACTGCACACCTACTCAATAAAATTTTGTGTCATTATGGGTTTTGGCACACACAAATTTAAATCTCCAACACTATTACATTTTACGCACACATGTAGGTTAAACACATCAACATAGAAAAAGTTGTGAGTGTAAGACGGACAAAATAATTTCAATGCTACTATATCGATATTTTGGTATTCTAAAGAGCTATACTTTGGCATGGTTAAACATGAATACCAGAAATAAAATGGCTCTAAGTACCAAAAACAAAAAGTGGAGGAACTTATGTTTTGAATAAGAAGCCACCATCCCAAAAAAATTTAGTTTTTAAATTGACATTTATATTATTACAATAAAATTCTTTTGTAAAACAAAAATAAAGTATCTCAACCTATTAATTAGTACAATAAATATAAAGTAATAAATTTATAAATAAAAATAAAAAATATCTATTTTAGGCTGATATTAGTGAGAACATCGTCTATTTTATAACGGTAACCAAAGAAAAAAGTTACAAATTTGTAAGAACTACTAGATTCGCTGACAGAGACATCTTTGATAAATAAATAAAACAAACAGGTCCTAGAAAAGATAGGAATTGAAGAAAGCGAACTTTTAAAGAGACAGTTATTGCTTGCGTGCATTATTAATGATGGAGTAGAACTAGAAGGACCTGGTTCCTAAGATTTATAGCTCTCTATAGACTCGACCTCCTGGAAAGGAAAATAATATCCTGTTGAGGAAATTATGCACATAATCCAGACGTATAAAATTCCATGAGTTGCCTCAAAAAGCAGTTTGAAACTCAAAAAACATTCTTAATAGTAATGTTGGTAAAGCATTACAGACTAATTTACGATGTTTACTAGGTAAACATTAAAATTGGGATGAATCAAAGTGCATCGCACAGATAGTACTTGTGTGTGTGGGTACCCAACCCCTTTCTCGATTGCAAAATTGTGCCCACCTCATTTTTAAAAAAGGGTCTTTTGGAAATCTGTAAAAGTAAAACGATTATGAGAATATATTAGTATAAAGTATAAATGCAAATTTGTTTCTGTACTATAGTTTTTTGGAATAAAGCTTATTCTAATAATTAATCCAGTGTATAAATATGCCTAATTGCATTTCTTAGACCATTCAACACAATGGACTCGCCTCGCGTGATTATTCCCCTCTGCGCAAGTATTGGATTTTAAAATCTTGTGCGTTTATAAAAACAGTTTACGAATTCGATTTTATCATTACAAGAATCGTTTCCGTCGTTGTAAGTGCTCTTTAAAAAAAATGCCCATTTGTGCGGTTAACGTGTGCAAAAAGAAGTCTAATACTTCAAATTTACAAAAAGATGCAGTTACATTCGATATGTAAGTATTTTTATTGTGATATATGCTTTCTTTCTATTATAAACATTTAAAATAATATCGAACCCGAACCGAACACCTGAGCTTATCACGTCTTTATCCTTAAATGGTCAGGGTCTTGAACGGGTCACCAAATTCAAATATCTAGGCACAATGGTTGACGAAACAGGAGATCACGGCCTCGAAATACGATGCAGAATAGAATAGGCACGCAAGGCCTTTTCGAGAATGAAAAAAGTTGTTTGTGATCGGAACCTAAGGGTTTCCTTCGAACACGCATAGCGCGGTGCTATGACTTTTCTGTACTTCTCTATGGTGTAGAAGCTTGGACGCTGACAGAAAAAAACTGGAAGCGTTCGAGATGTGGGTGTACAGACGTATGCTAAGAATTTCTTGGAGAGACCGCGTACGAAACACCACCGTGCTACAAAGAGTGGGGAAGGTCACAGAGATACTTACAACCATAAAGAGGAGGAAATCAGAATATTTTGGGCACGTGATGTGAAACACCAAAAAATATGAACTCCTTCAACTTATCATTCATGGGAAAGTGGCAGGCAGAAGGAGGTCTGGCCGCAGAAGGAAATCGTGGCTGAAGAACTTGCGCCAGTGGTTCGGGAAGAGCACAAGATCACTATTTAGAGCAGCGGTCTCAAAAGTAGAAATCGCGCTCATGATTGCCAACCTTCGCAAGGAGACGGCACCTTAAAAATAAGGAGTTACATTCCATATGTAAGTATTTTTACTGTGATATATGCTTTCTTTCTATATAAACATTTAAAATAATATCATGAATAATAAATCAAATCCAATCAAATAATTTATTTGTAAAACATAGGTAAAAAATTACAAACTTGGTTGAAAAGGTATGATAAGTAACACTATATTTCGCCTACAAAGGCATACAAATATTTGTTTATCACTATCACCTCGCAATATGAAAATTTATTTTTAACAATATGACAATTTCAATTATAATTCTCACGTTTAGAAATTAGATAATTCTTAACACCATAAAGATAAATAAATCGGACATTAATTATTGTAGGTACTAAAAACCATTAATTTTATCTTCAAAATATTCGTTGATAGAGTAGTATGCTTTATTTCTTAAAAACTCGAAAGCAATTTCTTAAACTTGTCTATGTTATCAGTTTCTTTGATGTTTTCTGGGAGTTTATTGAAAATTTTAGGAGACATGCCCAGGAAACTTTTTGAATACAGGGCTGTTTTATGAAGTTTTGTACGTCGTTTGTTCCTATGTCGTTTATTATTCATCATCATCATCATCATCATTACAGCCCTTCACAAGTCCACTGCTGAACATAGGCCTCCCCCAAGTAATGCCACAAAGCACGGTCCCGAGCCACCTGCATCCATCGACCTCCTGCATGTCTTACCAGGTCGTCACTCCATCTAGTGGGGGGTCGCCCTACACTACGCCTACCGGTACGAGGCTGCCACTCGAGAACCTTTCTTCCCCATCGGTTATCGGTTCTTCGAGCTATATGGCCGGCCCATTGCCACTTCAGTTTACTAATCCGTTGGGCTATGTCGGTCACTCTGGTTTTACTGCGGATATCCTCATTTCTGAGTCTATCACGCAGAGAAACTCCGAGCATAGCCCTCTCCATAGCTCGCTGAGCGACCTTAAGCGTCCTCATACGGCCAGCAGTGAAGGACCACGTCTCAGATCCGTAAGTCATCACTGGCAACACGCACTGGTTGTACAATCTAGTTTTTAGAGATTGAGGTATACCTGACGAAAAGATATGCCGTAATTTCCCGAACGCTGCCCAGCCGAGTTGAATCCGTCGATTGACCTCTCGGTCGAAGTTGGACTTACCTAGTCGGACCACTTGTCCCAGGTAAACGTATTCGTCAACAACTTCGAGCATAGTGCTCCCAACAACTACCGGCATAGGTGTGACATGGACATTGAACATGATCTTTGTTTTGTCCATGTTCATCTTAAGACCTATCCGTTGGGAGGCACTATTGAGGTCATTGAGCATAGTGCTTAAGTCCTCCAGCGATTCTGCCATAAGCACTATATCGTCGGCAAATCGAAGGTGAGTGATGTACTCGCCATTGATGTCAATACCGTATCCTTTCCAGTCCAGTAGCTTGAAAACGTCTTCCAATGCAGCGGTGAAGAGTTTCGGGGATATAACGTCACCCTGTCTTACACCTCTCTGCAGTTGGATAGGTTTCGAGCTCTGGTTCTGTACTCGGATAGCCATCGTAGCCCTACTGTACAAACACTTCAGCACTTCGATATACCGACAGTCAACTTGGCACCGCTGAAGGGACTGTAGCACCGCCCAAATTTCGACGGAATCAAAGGCTTTCTCATAGTC